CGAAGTATAAGAAGTAAAGCCATGGTGTTACGTTGAGCTGTAGGGGACTCAGGTCAACAATTTCTGACATTGCCAGTGAAGCAGAACACCCAATACTATTATGGACTACTGTACTCTTTCAGAATATTTTGCTGATTTCACACACCTATAATATTCAAATAACGGAAGTAAACAAAAAAAGGAGATACAGATGAATGTTTTGTTTTTTTTTACTTGTACATAATTTTATTATTTTTCTCCCTTCCTTATCCTCCCTTCAATCCCTCTTCCACTGCTTATTTTTTTATTTATTTGTGTGTGTGCGTGCGTGTGTGTGGCCAGCTCAGCCCACCAGGGGGTGGGGCTGGCTGGCATGTGGTGCTGGGGAATTGAATCCCGGTCCCTGTGCTTTGCTAAGCTTGTTCTAAGTAGGTGCTTTAGACCACTGAGCCATCTCACCAGCCCCCCACTGCTTATTTATAAAAGCTTTGTCTCTGTTTTTTCTTTTCTTTTTTTTCCCCATAATTTTATTGAGAAACAAATAGCAATGAGACAGTTTCCAAACAAATTGGTAGGACAGTTTCAATAATTAACACATTGCATACATTCTTCCTAGTGGTTAATTGCTGTTTTTGTTTTTTTTTTAAAGATTAGTAACAATCAGACCTTTGTGGCCTTGACATATTGTAAAGTTTCCACACCTTTTTATGTAACAGATGAATTGATATGTACCAACGCTGCTGTGTGGCAATTGTAATTCTCTGCAAAATTTAGTTTCAAGTTGGCAGTACAGTATATTTGTTTTTCCTTCTTTGAATTTTACTAATTTTGTTTAAGAGGGAGGGAAGAAGATATAACTTTTTTCCCCTATTCAGGTTCAAACACTATGTATAAAATGACCAAAGGCCAGCCAGATGACTCAGTGGACTAAAGCACATGCTTAGGCAAAGCACAGGGACCAGGGCTCAATCCCCAACGTGCCTTGCTTGCCCCACTCACAGGGCATGCCAAGACCTGGGCATGGTGGTGCGCACCTGTAATCTCAGCGCTTGGGAAGCTGAAAACAGGAGGCTCACTGAGTCCTATCTGTGTAGTGAGACACTGTAGACCCTGCAGACCATGTACTAAATACATTTTTTTTAAAAAGTAAATTGACCAATCATCAACCATCTACTTGATATTTTTTTATTTTTTTTTAATTTTTTTATTTATTTATTTATTTATGTGTGTGTGTGCGGCCAGCTCAGCCCACCAGGGGGCGGGGCTGACTGGCATGTGGTGCTGGGGGATTGAACCGCAGTCCCTGTGCTTTAGCTAAGCTTGTTCTAAGTAGGTGCTTTAGACCACTGAGCCATCTCACCAGCCCTACTTGATATTTTTTTAATGCAATCAGTCTCCTGAGATAACCATATTATATACTTAAATAATACATTTTCTTCTAGCTGATAGTAGAGCAAGCTCAATTGTACAGTAGCTATTGTCTTTCAATAAGAGGCAGAAAACTTAACGCAATATGATAAATTACATTTTTCCAAGAGCTAGATTTTCAGTTTCTTTGTAAAAATATGTTAAAGTATTGCTTTGTTTGTTGTGTGAATTAAATGAAAACAGATATTTGGATATTTTTATTTTAACATTTGATATTTTAGTTAGTAACACTATTAGAAATTCTTTGTAAATATTAATTCATTTCAGACAGCCAAGGTGACACACACCTGTATTCCCAGCTACTCTAGAGGCTGAAGCCAGAGGATCACTTGAGCTTACGGGTTCAAGAATGCTGGGAGGTAGAAACTTCTATCCTCATTTTTTCAGATGAAACAGCACAGAGAGGTTAAATAACTTATTGTGATATAACATGTCAGTTGATGATCTGGGATTTATGTCTAGGTAATCTGGCTTCAAAAACATTCTTAATCATTGTAAGCTGGCCTTGAACTCACTTATACAGTTTATGCTGGCCTGGAACTCATGAGAATCCTCCTGCCCCAGCCTGTTTTTTTTTTTTTTTTTTTTTTAATCATTACCTTTCCAAGATACAGAAACTGTCTTTGATACTTTTCTTCTTGCTGAGATGAAATACTGAAAGCCCAAAGTTAAAGGAGGAAAGGTTTATTTCAGCTCATAAGTTGGCTAGGCTCTAGTCCATAATTGGCTGGCTCCAAGGCAGGGTGGCAAGGCAAAGGGGAGCACAGAAGAGAAACAGGCATGATCAGCAGATGGCCACAAAGTAGTGAAGCAGCAAGCAAGGACAGCAACCCTCTTTCTGTCCCTTAAATCATAGCTATTCTAGTGAGGCTCTGCACCCTTAAGTTAGGTAGCACTCACTACCTGGAAGCAGTTTCCCATTATCCACACCTAGAACTGTACCAGACCAGTGAGTGAACTAATTTAGTAATTACACACCCTTCATCCCAGCCTCACAGACTGAACCCAAACATCATGCACTCTAGGTCCAGCCAGCTCTGAAAAGCCCCACCTATGACTTCATGAGGCTTTGGGGGCACATCTACACACAAGCCATCACAGACACCATATAGATATTAGTAGCACATTATTACATGTCCAACACTCTACTAGATGTTACAGAAAACACTTTAGGAACTTATAATTTGGTTGGGAGGAAAAACACAGAAAATAAGTAATAAATGGGAATGTATGAGATCATTTTCTACCACGTAACTGTAAGTAGTAAAATATGCACTTTTAAAAAATGTTTCATACATAGTAGCATAACAGTACATAGTGAATATCTAGGTGATGTTGGTCAGTATGGATAACCTTAAATATTTCCATTGTCCTAATGAACACACTTAGATCATTATGACCTAGGTTATAATTGGTAGAAAGAAAATTATGTTGGTACTTTAATCTGCATACCTTATTCAAACTTTACCAATTAACCTAACAGTATCTTTTACAACAATAAAATGTTTTGACTGCTCATGTGAACACTGTGGTACATATGCATAGCGCTCATCATGGCTTTTCTCCCATCTCAGTCGCAGTTTGGTTCCTAGAGCACCCTGTCCCCTACTTGGTCATGCAGGTAGAGCAAATGGCTTGATTTGATTTTCTTTCTTTTGTGTGATTCAGTGGAGCAGCGTGACTTCATTGGAGTGGACAGCACAGGAAAAAGGCTACTTTTCATGGCTAATGAAGCAGACTTGGATGAAGAGCTGGTCATTAAGGGATCCATCCTGCAGAAGTAAGCCCTAGGGATTTTCTTCTTGGCAGTTCTTTTTGTCTTAACACAAAATAAAACCACCCACCATGAAAAAGAGGGAATAAAAACTAGATTATACTGTATGAAATTAACAAAAGTATGTGTTTCTTCCATGAGGTAGGATGAAGGCTTTTCTACACTGCACAAATGGCTTTCCCCTATCTTTTTTTTTAATATACTAGCAATAGAGCTCAGGACTCTGCATTTGCCAGGCAGGCTCTGTGCCACTGAGCGATACCCCGGCTCAACATACTTTCTTGCCAAGGTAGAGGCAACTCTTTATAGGAATAGGGCAAAGCAACTATGCAGAAAATATAGCACTGTCTTTCTGACCTTGGTGTAGACCTTTTAAAAAGAAAAAAATATGGCAAAAAGTACATAACATAAAACTTAGCTGTCTTGTCTATTTTTAAGTGAAGTTTATTAATATTAAATATGCTCATGGGGCCAGGGAGATGGCTCAGTGGAATAAGCGCTTCCCTGGCAAGCACAAGGGCCTGAGTTCAATCCCCGGTTCCACCAAAAAAAAAAAAAAAAAAAGTATGTTCGCATAATTGGGAAACAGATCTCTAGAAATTTTTCATCTTACAAATGTGAAACTTTATCCCATTAAACCATTCCTCTTTCCCTACTCCCGTGAGGCCCTGTTAAGAATTCTACTTTGTTCTGTTAATTTGAATACTTTAGATATTTTATATATGTGAAATCGTAAATTTATTTTTCCATAACTATTTCATTTTATATAATGTCTATAAGGTTCATCATATTATATACCAGAGGACAAGATTTTCTCCTCTTTAATGCTGTATAATATTCCATTATATGTGTATATTACATTTTGTTCATCCCCTCCTCCCCTGGTAGGCATTTGTGTTACTTTGACTTCTTGGCTACTGTATATAGTGCTGCTCTAAACGTGGGTGTGCAGCTCTCTCCTCTAGACCTTGCTTTCGGTTCTTTTGGGTATGTACCCAGAAGTGAGATTGAACCCAGGACTTGACTCATGTTGGGCAATCACTCTACCATTGTGCTATACCCCTAGCCCTGTTTTTAATTTTTTGAAGAATCTCTTTTTCCATAACAGTTGTATTACTTTACAATCTCACAAACAGTATACAAGGATTCCAGTTTTAGGGGTTTTTTGTTTTGTTTTTGTTTTTGTAATAACTATTTTAAAAGGTGTGTAGTGCTATCTTATTGAGAACCTCTTTTTAATACAAGGCTGCCGGGGGCTGGGGAAATAGCTCAGTAGAATAAGCATTTGCCTG